CTTGATAGGTTTTAATTTAGTGATTTAATATCTGAGAGTACTTATTATAATTTTTAATAAATGTATAAAGTTAAATTTTTGTTGTTTAGGGGAAAGTTTAAAAGCTTAAAATTATGATTTCCGTTCGAGAGAAGAGTTGATAGGTTTTAATTTGGTGATTTAATATTTGAGAGTACTTATGATACATTATGATATATTAAAAGTGGATAAGAAGCTGTAAGGTTTTGATTTGGGAGAAAACCCAAACAAAATTTGTTTGGGTTTGGGGGGGAAGAGTTAAGAGCCAAGTTTATATTGTTTAAAAGAAATACACATCTCGGTGTGGAGAAGGTGGATAAATTATATGAAGAATAAATATGGGATTTAACGGGTAAATTATAATTAGAGCAGATATGATTAAAAGTATTGTTTGGATTATGAATAATTTTTGTTTTAAATTTGGAGTTGTTTATTTGATTTTTATAGTTGATTTTCTTTAATTTGTTTAAATTTGTTTTTTTTTAAAAAAAATTGTTTTGTATTTGAGTTAAAGTACTTATTGAGATTTAGTTTGTATTAGTTAAAGTTAAAATAAATATGGGGTTTAATGGGTAAATTATGATTAGAGTAGATATGATTAAAAGTATTGTACTGATCATGAATAATTTTTGTTTTAAATTTGGAATTATTTGATTTTGATAGTTGATTTTCTTTAATTTGTTTAAATTTGTTTTGTAAATGTATCTGAGTTAAAGTACTTATTGAGATTAAGTTTGTATTAGTTAAAGTTAAAATAAATATGGGATTTAATGGGTAAATTAGGATTAGAGTAGATATGATTAAAAGTATTGTCTTGATCATGAATAATTTTTGTTTTAAATTTGGAATTATTTGATTTTGATAGTTGATTTTCTTTAATTTGTTTAAATTTGTTTTGTATCTGAGTTAAAGTAATTTACTGATTTTATTATTTGTATAGTTGGATAGGTTTAGTTAGATTTAGTTTGCATTAGTTAAAGCTAAGTAGATTTTGTTTAATATGTTTGAAAACCCTGTGCCAAGCTCTGGGAAGTGGGGGGGAGGGGAGGCTGAGGGTGGGTGGGTCTTTGGGAGTGGGAGGGAGGGGGGTTGGGGTGGGGGGGTAAGTAGGTTAGATGATAGGATTAAAGTAAGATAATAAGGGATAACTTATGAGAGAGATGTTGCTTGGGCATTTCCCCGGTACTGTATCCGAAGAAGGATGAGAGAGGAGGAGAAAGGTTAGGGAGGAAGTAGGATGGTGAGAGGAGAGGGGGAGGGGAGAGAGAGGGGAGGGGAGGGAGAAGGAGGAGGGAAGTAAGGGAGAGTGTAAGAGAGGGCGGATGCAGTTTGGGGGGGTGGGCAAGCGACATCTAGGTGTATTTATTTTACTTCGTCAAATGTGAAATTTCTTCTTTTTTGTTTATGTAATTGATAATTGAAAAATAAAAACTTTTCTAAAAAAAAAAAAAAACAAGACCTGGCAATGGCTAAGAGCAGGAAAATTGAAGAAAGAGACCGAGGGACTAATTCTGGCTGCACAAGACCAAGCCTTAAGGACAAATGCATATAAAGTCAAAATTGAGAAGACAGCAACAGACAGTAAGTGCCGCCTATGCAAAGAAGCTGAAGAAACAGTGGACCACTTGGTAAGCTGTTGCAAGAAGATTGCACAAACTGATTACAAGCAGCGGCATGACAAAGTAGCAACAATGGTGCATTGGAAGATCTGCAAAAAATATCATTTGCTCGTAAGCAAATAACTGGTGGGAGCATTAAAAATAGAGAAAGTCATAGAAAGATAAAATTAAACTGCTCTGAGACTTCAGATTCATAACAGACAAGCACCTGCAACATAACACCCCAGACTTAACAATGTCGATAAGAAAGACAAAAAAGTCTGGATAGTGGACGTGGCAGTGCCTGGAGACAGCAGAATAGAAGAGAAAGAACTGGAGAAGATAACAAAATACAAAGACCTACAAATAGAAATAGAAAGACTGTGGCAAAAGCAAGCAAGGGTAGTACCAATAGTCATAGGAGCCTTGGGTGCAATCCAAAACAACTGGAGCACCACTTTAACACCATTGGCATTGACAAATTCGTATTAGAAATTGCAAAAGGCGGCCTTACTAGAAACTGCTTCCATCCTGCGACGATATCTGTAATACCATCAAACATCCACATCTGCCTATCCCAGGTCCTGGGTAAGGACTTGATAGGTAGACAAAATGCCAAATCCAGTCTGAACATCTGGCTGACTGTGCGATGATCAATAATAATAATAATAGAGTTGGAAGGGACCTTGGAGGCCTTCTGGTCCAACTCCCTGCTCAAGCAGGAAACCTTATACCCAGTGGTAGGATTCAGCTGGCAGAACCGGTAGCTACTTTTTTGTTGCCCAGGCTCAGAATGGACTTCTGGAAGTGGCATCCACACAGAGAATCGGTTGTTCACATATTTGAATCCCACCACTGCCTATACCATTTCAGACAAATGGCTGTCCAGTCTCCTCTTAAAAACTTCCAGTGTTGGAGCATTCACTACTTCTGGAGGCAGGTTGTTCCACTGGTTAATTGTTCTAACTGTCATGAAGTTTCTCCTTAGTTCTAGGTTGCTTTGCTCCTTGATTAGTTTCCATCCATTGCTTCTTGTCCTGCCTTCAGGCGCTTTGGAGAATAGCTTGACTCCCTCTTCCTTGTGGCAGCCCCTGAGATAGATCATGCCAGACAAATCTTATTGCATTCTTTGACCAGGTGACAAAATTAGTGGATCAGAGGAATGCTGTGGACATAATTTACTTGGACTTCAGTAAGGCATTTGATAAAGTAGATCACAACCTACTACTTGATAATATAGAAAAATGTGGGGTAGACAGAATCACCATATGGATCCGTAGCTGGCTGACCGGCCGTACTCAGCGAGTGGTCCTCAATGGAACTGCATCTATATGGAGGGAAGTGTGTAGTGGGGTGCCCCAGGGCTCTGTTCTTGGCCCAGTGCTCTTCAACATCATCAACGATTTGGATGAAGGGATAGATGGGGAACTCATCAAATTTGCATACGACACTAAGCTGGCAGGAATAGCCAACACTCCAGAAGACAGGCTTAAGATACAGAAGGATCTGGACAGACTTGAACACTGGGCACTAACTAACAAAATGAAATTCAATGGTGAAAAAAGCAAGGTTCTACATTTAGGCAAGAAAAACCAAATGCACAAGTACAGCATAGGTGGCACCATGCTCAATAGTAGTAACGGTGAGAGGGACCTCGGAGTCCTAGTAGACAATCACTTAAATATGAGCCAGCAGTGTGCTGCAGCTGCCAAAAAGGCCAACACAGTGCTAGCTGCATTAAGAGGGATAGAATCAAGATCACGTGAAGTATTAATACCACTCTACAATGCCTTGGTAAGGCCACACTTGGAATACTGCATCCAGTTTTGGTCACCATGATGTAAAAAAGATGTTGAGACTCTAGAAAGAGTACAGAGAACAAAGATGATTAGAGGACTGGAGGCTAAAACATATAAGGAACAGTTGCTAGAATTGGGTAAGTCTAGTTTAACGAAGAGAAGGACAAGGGGGGACATGATAGCAGTATTCCAATATCTCGGGCTGCCATAAAGAAGAGGGAATCAAGCTAGTTTCCAAAGCACCTGAAGGCAGGACAAGAAGCAATGGGTGGAAACTAATCAAGGAGAGAAGCAACCTAGAACTAAGGAGAAACCTCTTGACAGTTAGAACAATTAATCAGTGGAACAGCTTGCCTCCAGAAGCAGTAAATGCTCCAACACTGGAAGTTTTTAAGAATAGGCTGGACAGCCATTTGTCCGAAATGGTGTAGGGTTTCCTTCCTCCAAGGTCCCTTCCAACTTTACTACTATTATTATTATATTGGAACACTGCTATCATGTCCCCACTCGTCCTTCTCTTCATTAAACTAGACATATCCAATTCCAGCAACCGTTCCTTATATGTTTTAGTCTCCAGTCCCCTGATCATCTTTGCTGCTCTTCTCTGTACTCCTTCTAGAATCTCAACATCTTTTTTACATTGTGGTGACCAAAACTGGATGCAGTATTCCAAGTGTGGCCTTACTAAGGCATTGTAAAGTGGTATTAACACTTCACGTGATTTTGATGTTATCCCTTTAATGCAGCGTAGCACTGTGGGGGCTTTTTTGGGATCTGCGTTTTGTTTGATATTGTTTATGTGTCAGGTGAATTAACAGAAAACATAGTTGTAATGTTTCAAGTAGTAAGCAGATTATTTTATTCCTTTATAATACATTCTTGTGACAATAATGTGAAGTACTGGTTAAAGTGTTGGATTGTTAGATTTACATTCAAGTTTATCTTAATCCATTACTATACAGTTACTATTTGGGTCATCATTTTCTTTCAGATCAACAAACACCCCACAGGATAGTACTTTGAAGAAGAGTGGAAGAAAAAATTGCCATGTGCCACTATTAATTCACAAATAAGACAGAATATCAATCTTACAATAAATTGGATTTCTTATCCTCATCCACAAGTCTTAATTTTTAGGGATGTCTTTTATAATCATACTTCCTTCCTTCCCCTTCTTCCTCCTCCACTATTTTTACACCTGCAAATTGATTTGTGTATTCCATGCCATTCAGACAGTACAGCTTTCAGATACACTTTAATAATTTAAAAAAAACATAATTAACTAATGCTTTTATGTAGATTTTGGCATTTGGTTGGACTTTGTAATCAAGTGGAGTATTGTGTCTATAATCAGTTCAAAATAACTTTAGATGATTTGGGGAGGCCTACCAATGAGGTCTTTATTTTAGAAGGAAAAGTCAGTTCATTATCATTCTAACATTCTGTCACAATAATTTCCATTGTTCTGGGGGTTTGTTTTTAGTGGGTGCAGAGGAACTCTCTTTATCTTTTTTATTCTGAACAGACAGATTCTTTGACCTCAGATGACCTTGATCTTCCTATGTTGAGTGAATATTGATGCTAGAAGCTAATTTTCTTGTTTGTGTTTCCCATTTTGCAGACAAATTCTGTTAGTGAGCAGGAAGTACAAGGTACAAAGACTGAGGTGTCACTATCAACTTCTGTTGCAACTGCAGAACAGCAGCAAGAAGTAAGCATCCATATCCAAATAAACAATTTGGCGTATCCTAATAAAAGTGTGTCTCAATCAAGATTCATGAGAAAAGAGTTTCTCTTTTCACAGCATGTTTCCTTGTAGACTTGTGTCATGTTTAAATGTACAAAGTTGGTATGAGTTTCATTTGTTTTGCTACTGTTTCCCTGGCTCTCATTGTCTCATTATGCGGTGCATTTCTTGCTCTCTTATTTGCTTATCTTCTGCTGCTTGCTAAAGTGCAGGTTTTCCTGTGAGACTGTCTTGATCTGCAAACTTGCTTCTAATAAGTTAGTGGCAAGCTAGCATTTTTCAGTAGAGTCGCTTACTAAAATTTAGAAGTAGATTTGTCAAATGTTGCAAGACCAAATGTATATGGGATCCTGGAAATCTTAAATGTTATTCAGCTACAATTTTTTGCAATTCAGGAACCAATTCGGCTTCAGAGGATGCCTGCTGCTCCCTCCCCCACCATTCAGTCCATTTCTCTAGCTGTACCAAAGGTAGGGGGCTTTAATGCTTTGTTTTAACCCAAAAAAAAAAAAAAAAAATGTAGGCAGAGAGTTAACATGAAAGGCATTATGCCTCATGCATGATCCATTTGTCAGTTTGTTCATGTCTGTATGTTAGCCATGTTTAAGCATGTTGTTTTTTAAGGATTATTTTAACCAGGACTAAGAATTAAAATGAATTCTGTATATAATCTTATGAGAGTGTATCTGGGTGTTTTGTTTCCAGCTAATTCAGGGGTGTCAAATTGCTGGCCCGCGGGCTGGGTGTGTCATCTGGAAGCCGTGCCCATCCCATTGCCAGCAATGGCAAAACCGTCCCGATACGTTGCGTGACATCACGTAACATTGCGAGTTCGACATGTCTGAGCTAATTCATAGTGGGACAGGTTCTTCTGTCCTTCTGTCCTTCCCCAGAAAACATCTGTTGTACAAATAGATGACAAATGGATCTTCTGTTTAAATCTTTCCCTGAGAGGGTATTTTCAGACCTTTTTTTTAATCAGTAAAAGGCCCAGCAAGTTAACATTAAAGCTAGGTTTTTTAAAGTTTCTATTCTAATTGTGACAATGTGGCCATACAATAATATATGAAGGAAATGTCAGAGAAGAACCCTCTTATCTTCCACAAAACCTGTAACATTAAAAAAAAGAGAATAGCTTCTCTAGCCACTTCCATATGTTTATAAAGTAAGTGCGTGCAGTGCCCATCTAGCTAGTCTGATCTGGCAAATTTCCATAATTTTCCCCCTTCCTTTTCTTCTTTTTCAGTCAGACTGGAAATTTGCTTGATTTTTTTCCACCCTTAGATCAGCCTGTTACCAAAGCGATTTGCCCTGGTTCACCAGCCCCAAATTAGAACTTCATATTTTTATATATATTATTTTGTTCCACAGACCAAGAACAGTTGATATTCAGTTGTGGTAGACAGTAAGCAACTACTTTTGCTATGTAGCATTAAGTATGGTGATAAAAAAGATGTTGAACTTCTGTAAAAGCTAATATAATAATGGTGGGTTAAACAAGCATACATATTCATTTAATTTGTTGGTATATGAGTGTATTTGATTGTAGATTATAATTCTTAGCTGATTGTTGATTATAATTTCGGCGGTTGCACAGTGCGCCTATTTTTAAAACATATATGTTGCCCAAACTACCCTATAGTAGACTTGTATTTATTTTGAAAGAATGAATATACTGTTTTTAGCAGTACAATTCTAATATAAATTTACCAATTTCAACACAATACAAAAAGTATTTCAGCACGGTACAAAAGCCAGGATAAAACAAACAAAGCATAATCAGTAGGGAAGCACATTAATCTACCATAAAAGCAAAAGAACAGTACAGTACCTATTTGAAATCAACACATTCTTAACAGTTCATCAAAAACTGAGTGACATTAATGTCATTAACTTCTGAAAACAATCACAATGAACACCTAAAACATTATTCTGTTCAAGATAGTTTTTACATGGAGATGGAGGATCTAATACACTGTGTCAGCAGCATACTAGGAGTAGCTCCTATCTGAGATCCATTCCAAATAAGGGTTTACTGTACAGTTGAATTAACCCCAGCCATCCACTGCATTGATATGGAAGCTGGTACACTTTATCATTAACAATTTATTAGAAGTGTCAATTTTTTAATGAACTTTTATGTTGTTTTATTGTGAATTTATTTTTCAGCCTAAAGCTCATCAACTAAGTATCAAATCCTTTTCAAGCCCAACTCAATGTAGCCACTGTACATCTCTCATGGTGGGATTGATTAGACAGGGTTATGCTTGCGATGGTAAGTTGGTTAAATCTCTTAAATATTTGAGCATCTTAATAGTCTAATTATCATTTGGAAAAAAACAAATATGTTTAAAATTTTCTTGTAACAAGCATCTATTTATAACTGTATTGTAGTATTGAATAAAGGCAGACATTTAGTTCCAAAATGCATTTGTTTAGATTAAATCTATTCTTTTCATAGTATGGCTATGTTAAGGCATCAGTTACGCCACACAATTTAGGGAATGGAACAATTCCTTGAATTGTTTCAGTGATTTTTAATTAATAAGACTATATACACTGAACAATATAAAAGATGGTACAAAATATTTTTAGTAAACAGATAGATTACTGGATTGTTTCTACTTGGAATGTGATATAGAATATTATAGAAAGCTTTCGTACAAATTAGATATTGATGGGAATTTCTTTTGAATAATGACACTAAATGTTTGGGACTTAAACAGTATTTTCAGAATGTGTACCTATACACTGCTGAAATATATCATGAAAAATTAAACTACCATCTTAGGTGTATCTACAACTTTCTATCTAGGAATTCTAGAACTATGGGTCAGTACTAGCCAGACAGATAGTTGCAACCCATATTTTGGGGAGGAGAGGGGAGTTTATATCACTTTTTAAAAAATGGACAAATTGCACAGATAAAGAGAGACCACCATTCCAACTCACAGTGAGTTGTTTGTTCCCCGTTCTGCATGTGCAGGCTACTTGTGTTTCATACTGGAATGTTACATGTTGGATGACTGAAAAAAATATCAATTATCAGTAGTCCTCGACATATGACCATAATGCAATCTGCTTATTACAACCATATTCATAATGGTCGTAAAATGACCTTTTTTGTGATGGTATTTAAGCAAATCACCATGGTTGTTAAAGGAATACAGTTGTTAAGGAAACCGTTGGTTCAATATGGGTGCAATTTTGCCAAAAACCAGAAGTAAGTGCTAGTTTTGAGAAAAGCTGTCATAAAACATGGTCATTTGATTGATGTATGCTGCAATTGGCCATAAATCTGTGTTGTGAGCATCCAAAATTTGGTCATGTGAACACAGAGGGGACCCAACCAGTGGAACTTCAAATGGGTGTTGCAAGTCCCCTTTTTCAGGTCAGTTGGAACTTTAAATGGCCATTAAGTGACCTGTTGTAAATTGAGGTCTACCTGTATATTAGAAATTAAATGGAGCTCTGATAACTTTTAGGGGAGAAGATATGCACAACACTGGGAAATCCAAAACAGGGATGCATGTTTTTTTTTATTATAGAACATAAGTGTTTTATTTAGCTTGACGGATCTTGAATATCTTCAGACTGAAGTACAGTAGGGTAACTTGTCTATGCAGTTGCATCGGGTTCCAAAGTTGTCTGAGTATCTCTGGAATTAAATGTGGTATTGAAGAAACTATTCAATCTCTCTCTTGCTTGCAGAATTACATGGTTCATAGCAAGTTCCAAATGCCAGCCAAAAAGTGTGGATTAGGGATGTGCAAAACCTACATTTCTTCCTTCAGACCATCTCGATCTATAGTTTTTATAGCTACAGCTATCTGGGGTTATAGTTTTTGATTTAGAGGAATAAGTCCAGGGAAACAATTCAACCATTCTCAGAACTGAAAATATACGTGTGCATTTTACTCCTTTAATTGTAGATTTTACATATATTTATTATAAACCTTTATTTCATAAGAAAAAAAGGGTTTTTTTTTTGCCAAACTAGGTTCCATTTTTTGTTTAAAATCAGAACTCTAATGGATCTTTTAAAGAATTATTCACTTAAATAATTGATCAGAATGAAACAAGAGTTGTTCAAAATAATTTAGTATTTGTAAATTCAGGAAGAAAGAAAATGCGTAACTTTAAAACCTGGAGAGTCTTTTATACTTTAAAATATAACATTACTGAGGCATGATTATAGTTTAATGAAACTACTGCTAAGATACATTCATTACTTTGTAATATGAAATAAATGTGTTTGCCATTTTAAACTGGTTGTTCTTGGAGCTGCTGACTAACTATGGTGTGATGTCCTTTTCTTGCTCATTCACAATTTTGTTAGCCAGTTCTCAGTAATCTGTAGAATTTATTGTGTAACAACACACAGCTTAACAAGTTTATTTTTTCATCCTTAGTGTGTTCATTTGCATGCCATGTTACCTGCAAAGACAGTGCACCACAAGTCTGTCCTATACCTCCAGAGCAAGCCAAGAGACCTCTTGGAGTAGATGTTCAAAGAGGCATAGGAACAGCCTATAAGGGCTATGTCAAGGTAAGAATCTGGCAGAAAAAGAGGAGGGTCAGTAAATCAAATAGAATTACTGTTCATAGTCAAATACCAGTTCCAATTCAGACATAGACAGTCAGGCAAATCTGGCTGTAGAATAGATTCCAAATTCAATTGCAAACTCTAAACTGGTCACTTCTTGAGGAATTCAAAAATTAGTATAATTTCAGTAAAATAAATTAGACTAGAAACTTCAGGAGTCAAGCATGGCAAGATCAAGAATAAGACATTGCTTCCAACTCTGATAGGCTAATTTCATTGCTGATGTCCTGATCATCATTCCCAAGCGCACTCTACTTTAAGAGGGTCCTGTTTCCCAGCATTTCCTTCTCCTCTAAAGAGAACCTGTTCCATTATTGCTTATTGATTGTACCTTCAAGATTATTCAGTATTTAACTATTATCAAATTGTTATTGCTCCTGTCCTCCAAAGTCGTGATTAAAAAAGATAGGTAGATGGAAACAATTACCAAGTTCAGTGGAGTGTCAGTGACATTTGAAAAAGTAATTATACAGCATAAAAAATGACAACAATCAGCAGCCCTTAACTAAACTCAACTGATCTTGAAAAAGTTAAGCAGAGTTGGGCCTAATTAGTACTTTGACATAAACAGAACTGGGACCTGAAAAATATCCCCAGAGAAAGCAAGGGCAGACATTTCATACTGACATCTAGTGTGTGTGTGTGTGTGTATGTAATGTGTGTGTGTGTGTGTGTGTGTGTGTATTTTCTGAGGTTAAAAGGCTTTTTTTATTAACTGCTGAGCTTTTGTTAACAACCTGTTAACATCATCAGAGCAAAGGGCTAAATGAGAAGGGGGAGCATGTGCATAAATTTACATAACAGTTAAAAAAAAAAGTGAAGGGCACACCCAGGGGGTCACCCATTTCAAGCATCATCGCTGAAGCAGTACTGCAGGATTTAAAACGTGTTGTCATGGCTGATTATCAACCTAGTTTTTGGATTAGGTACGTGGACGACACCTTTGCAGTCATTAAGCGATGTGATACCACCAAATTCTTACAGAAACTGAATTCATTCCATCCAGACATCCAATTTACAGCAGAAGAGGAGGACAACAACACCTTACCCTTCCTGGATGTCTTGGTCCATCTTCTTCCAGATGGCAACCTATCAACCACCGTCTATCGCAAAACCACTCACACTGATAGAATTCTCCACTACCAAAGCAATCACCCTATATCGCATAAAATCAGCTGTTTAAGAACTTTATTCAAAAGACTCAAGACCCACTGCAGCACAGAAATAGCAAAATCTAAAGAGAAAGCATACCTTCTCAGCATATGCAAACAAAATAATTACCCACCAAGCTTCATCAAACGTTGCTGCAAAGATAAAACACCACACTCAAACTACAATGCTCCAACGAATACAACTTGGGCAACACTCCCATACATCAATGGAGTCTCAGAAGCAACCGCCAGGATCCTTGCCCCATACAATATCAACATAGCACATAAACCCAACCAAACATTACGTTCCCAGTTGATGCAACCCAAAGAACCATTACCAATCAGTGATTTGTCCTCCATCGTATACAAGATCAACTGCAACACATGCCAATGTAACTACATTGGAGAAACATCAAAAAGACTTAAGACCAGAATACATGAGCATGTTTTGGCAGTAAGAAGACAAGAACAGCGCTCCCAAGTCTGGACCCATATAGCTGAGCATGGCCACACTTTCAACTTTAAAGGAGCAGAAGTCATTGCTCATGATTCCACCAAAGGAGGCCGTCTTTTAAAAGAAGCTTGGTTTTCAGACTGTCATTCTATTAATAGACACATAGACCTACTACCTCCTTACCAAACCCTAAAAAGACATTTACAAAAACATAAAGTACCTAAACACTTCAACCCAACCAATAATAACACAAAAACACCACCCCAGCCACTTATCAAACCCCAAACCAACACAATAGATATCCTTTCTACAACACAATCCTTTTCATCAAACCTAACTAAAGAATATAATTCTAACACAACCATGACAACTCACACAACCAACACACCATGTTCTGATATTCTCACACACAGAAACAACAACCCCCCTGACCACAACATCCAGGACACAAACATCCAAAACATAAATCCTGCAACCTCACAAGATACTCACACACAACAAAACATACACACACAACACCTAAGTAACAACAGAATATTAAGACCAAGACCAAAACTCCCCCCTACAATGAAATATGACTTATCACATTCAATGGAACAAAATATTACAGCCCAATTCCCAAACACCACAAAACCACCCACAACTAATAAGCATAACAAACGAACACACACAAACATTCCAAATAACCGTACCCAACAAAACACACACACACAACAACCCTACACCAAACAAACTATACAATCCAAGAGGCTGGCTAAAAGGCATGCTGGATCTACGTGCCAAACAGCTGACAAGCGTGACTTTTAAAATGGTCTTGAGACTGACTGCTCTATGCCTTTAAGAGCTTCTTGGGCACAATGTGTGCACATGCTTCACTTCAACCGTTTTTTTTTAAACTGTTATGTAAATTTATGCACATGCTCCCCCTTCTCATTTAGCCCTTTGCTCTGATGATGTTAACAAGTTGTTAACAAAAGCTCAGCAGTTAATAAAAAAAGCCTTTTATCTTACATCCCAGAGCTCTTTATTTTTATCTGATTGACGGTTTTTGCGGGTCTTTGTATGTAGGTCTTTCTCCCGCGGGAGAAAACCTGAACAACCAAAGACCTACATACATACATACATACATACATACATACATACATACATACATATATGAAAAAACTACTAAAAACATTGATCTCCAAAAATGAGCGTATCATAGGTCTGTCCATCCCCCGCACACCTACAATTTGCTGCATCAATCTTGTTTCTGCTGTGCTAACCAACATCCATTTGAATTTTACTGTTCTGCCTCTCCCCGCATGCCCCGCCCACCTAGAACATTCGTCTTACAGAGCACGGTCATTTGACGTCGCCGCCTGACTATTCTCCCCACTGTCTTGCTTAGGTGTATCCCTCACATGCAGTGCTGTTGTTCTAGCTCGCCCATTTTAGGGTGGCCTATAATTAAAAAAAATAGGATAAATACAAAAATGAAATAGAAATTGGAATATCCTGAACAGGGGATCAACCATAACCTTGCCTCCAAAGCTAGGGAGAATAGTCAAGACTCCAAAAGCTTCCTGAATGACATTAGCATTCAAGCCATCTGAATCTTGGGAGTTGGAGATATAATTCCAGGGTGGTGGTACTGCAACAGAGAAGGCACGCCTCTTGGATCCTGCTAAATGACACTACTTAATCAATGGGATCCCAAGTGTATCTGTTGTACTTGATCTCACCAGATGGACAGAAGCAACTGGAAACCAGCAGACCAGCCTTATGCCACAAAGTGTTTCATAGATGACAATCATCATGTTTAATTACTCTTGGAAGCCAACTGAATAACCAGTTTAGCTTGGGAACAGCAGAGTCACACAGGCATAATGGTACATGCCTGTTATTGCCTTTTTTACTGGATTCTGCATCAGCTCTAGCATCAAAGCGGTTTTCAAGGGCAATCCCATGGGTAACCTTGGCCAGTCTCAGCCCTAGCAAGAAGGCAATGACAAAACCACTTCTGAAAAGCTCTGTCAAGAAAACTGCACGGTCTTGTCCAGAGTCTTTAAGAATTGAACATGATCGAACAGAAGATATATAGATGGACCAGTCGGGCAGACAGAATATTTATTGAATTTTTGATGTGGCTATAACCTGAAGGGAGCATTCTTTTACTATTGAAGGGGTAAAATTTCAAATTTGATGGGATGACATACATTGCTAAACAGAAGATTTGAGTTTTATCCAAAATTATATTTATCACATATATTTGACAATCAGAACAAAAAATTGAGAAGTATTTTTTCTTCAAATTTCTACTTTCAGCAATAAAATTAATCATACTTAAACAGTGGGAATATGTAGATAATATAATGGATTGCTTGAGAAAGTATCTGATAAAATCCATTATTTAACAATACAAAGTTGCAAATCGTTTTATCAGGAATAGTGGAATTTTATTGTTTATGCAAGAGATAAGTATTCTTGTGACAGCCTATATCAGAAATTATGGGAGATTTTAAAATATACCATCATCATTAACTTTAAATTAATACTTTTAAAACAGATTTCTTATAAATTGATCCATGCCTTGAAAGAGTTTTGCTTATTTCATTAAGTTGTGGCTTAACATTATTTGCAAATTCAGCTATTGAGAAAATGAGTGTCATGCAATTTTCTATGAAGAGATGACTCATAACATTCCAAAGATCACTTTGGGTTCCTTAGGGAAACCAATAATATTTATTGATCAATCGATTGATTGATTGCTTTGTTTGCAGGTATTGTATATCTAAAATGAAGAAGTTACAATATTTGAAAAATGTATATATTGTTGCAAATCCCTGGAAGTATTTTTATGAGTTGCCTCAATGGTAAGATGGTATATTAATATAAATTTAATAAAATAATAAAATTTAATAAATAAAAATGAGTCTTTACCCCCTTTTATGGTATGAATAATATATGTCTATATTTACAGGTTCCAAAGCCAACAGGAGTTAAGAAAGGATGGCAGAGGGTTTATGCAGTTGTCTGTGACTGTAAACTTTTCCTCTATGATGTGCCTGAAGGAAAATCCACTCAGCCAGGAGTTGTTGCAAGTCAAGTTATGGATCTCAGGTTTGCAACCTTAAGCCACATCTTTTTGTAAGCTTGATTGTATCAGAGAAAAATTAGCAAATGAAGAATGATGCAATCATTGAATTTTTTTTGATGTTACATAGCGTACTTTGATATATTGTGTGCTTTTTGAAAAAAGTATAGGCCACATTTGTATAAGGTATGAGAGAAGAATAAATCTATGCTCTTGATTTTTTTCTGGTAGAAAATAATATCATAAACCTGTACCCCAAATCTCTTTAACTTAGTGGTTCAAATTTTACCTATTAATTTGTTAATTTCTTTCCTGGGAAAAGTGGCTAATCTTTGCTTTAACAAGGATTTTAAATATGTACTGTTGTTTTCTTTCCAGAGATGAAGAGTTTTGTGTGAGTTCTGTCCTAGCATCGGATGTTATACATGCAACCCGTAAAGATGTTCCTTGTATATTCAGGGTACGATCATTTGATTAATTTGTACAAATACAATTCATGTTTTACTTAGCTATGATTGATAAAAAATAACATTTCACAGAATTATCCAATCTAGGCAAAAGCAAATTGTTAGGTTTCCATAGCTACTGTGTTTTCCCGAAAATAAGACCTATCCCAAAAATAAGCCCTAGCTTGATTTTAGGTGCCCCACATCTGCTTACCTTAGGATTGCCATAGCCAGGCCTCCCACGCTCTGACACCTGTCGTGCCACTGCCCGAGTTCTGCGGTCGCTTGCAGCTGCACACTACATGATGCATTGCACTGCTGCCACCAGTCACAACAAGGCTTATCGCACTGATCATGCTGCTGCCACTGCTTGCAGCTGGAGGCCAAGAGGCTCATTGGCTAATCACGTCGCTGCCACCACTCACAGCTAAAGGCTGTGAGGCTCGTTGCACCGCTGCCACCACTCGCAAGATGCTGCATGGCCTCATTGCGTCGCTCATGAGCATGTGCGATTGACACAATGAGCCTCGTGGTCTCCTGCCACAACCAGCAGCAGTGGCACGATCACTGCAACAAGCCTCGTAGCTTCCTGGTACGAGCGGCAGCACCAGCATGCTGCCGCAGAAGAACTCAGGCAGCAGTGCGACAGGTGTTGGAGAGAGGGAGGCCTGGCTGTGGCGGTCCTAGGTAAGCGGGTAAGACATCCACCCAAAATAAGACCTGGTGTCTCTTTTGTAGGCAAAAAAAAAAATAAAAAATAAGACCGGGTCTTATTTTCAGGGAAGCACGGTTCTCTGTCGAAGGCTGATTGTGGATTTACAGTCTTTTTATAATAATTTAGCCACCGAAATAGATTTTATTCTATTCTAATTGTTTTCAAATTTTCTTTTAGAATCTATCTAAATGGGTGATAAGCCAGTGGTGAAACATGTTCAGCTACTTTATGCAATTATATGATGCACGTTTGTGTGTGTGTTTGTGTGTGTGTATTGCAGCTTGGTGTCTTTTATTTCTTTCTTGTGAAGAGGTTGTCTGATGAATCAAGAAGGTGAAATATTTATTTTGGAGATAGCCTACATAATAAAGTTTTGGTTTTGTTATCTGGCTTGTAGGTCATTTTTTTAAATAAAGATTTTATTGGGGTTTTTTTTTCATCAACATATGTTAATTTTTCCAATCAACAAGTTGTCTGGAGTTTGCTATGCTAATACATGTTCAATTCCTAATCCTTCATTCTTTCCTCTAGCCAAGAATAAAATAGGTCCCAAATTTGATAGTAGTCTGTATCTTCTTTATCTTTCAACCTCATAGTTAATCTGTCCATCTCTGCACATTCCAATATTTTCCTGATTATTTCTTCTTCAGATGGCAATCCTTCATCCTTCCAGTATTGTGCAAAAATTATTCTCGCTGCTGTAGTGATGTGAAAGATTAAATATAATTTCTGCTTATTAGTCTTTTCAGGCATAATACCTAGTAAAAAAGTTCAGGTTTAAAATCCACTTGTTCACCCAATATTTTTTCTAACCACATATGTATCTTTCTCCAATAGGCCTTTGCCTTATCACATGTCCACCAAATGTGATAGTACGTGCCTATGTTATGTTTACATTTACAACATCTATCTGACATATTTTTAAACATTTTTGCTAATCTTGCTGGCGGCAGGTGCCATTTATAAAACATTTTATACAGATTTTCTTTGTATGAAGTTGACATTGTTAATTTGTAGTTTCTCTCCCATAACATGCCATTTTTCTAATTCTATATTATAGCCAAAAAATTTTGCCCATCTTGTCATTGTTTCTTTCACTTGTTCACTTTCCATATCCAAAATTAACAAAAAGTTATACATTTTCTTAATTAATTTCTCATCTGAGGTTAACAAAATCTTATCAAACACAGTTTGATCCTTATAAAATCCATACATTTTTACATCTTTTTCATATCTACTTTGTATCTGTAAATGTGCCCACCGGGACAAGTTAATTCCCTGATTTTCCAGTTCTTGTTTAGATTTTAATTTCCCATCAATATTTAGAATATCTTTATATGTCCATATTTTTTCAAAGTCTACCAAGTTCGGATGTATAAATGCCTCCATCGTTGATAACCACCCTGGAATTTTTAAATATATTTTAGCTTTAATTTTTTCCCATACTGTTGACAAGGCGTTTCTTATAAAATGATTTTGAAAGTTCTTATGGACTCTGTTTTTCCCATACCATAAGAAAGCGTGCCACCCCAATTGTAAATCAGATTGCCAGATTTCAGACAAGTTTTATAAATGAGGGGTCCTTGGTTATTTCTGAGCTTGATTGATTTCTTGCAGACATTTCATTACCAAGCTAGGTAACATCATCAGTGCTAGTAGCGAGTAAGGTTTACTCTCATTTTATATTCTGATGGCTTGCCCTGTAAGTATGCCTCCTCTATTGAGTTTTATAAACATATTCACAGGTTTGGACTATTTAAAAACATTTTTTAAATCTTATTTTTTGTTGTCCCATTTCTACTAAAAAGGAGAGTCACAGTGAGTGTACCCATTTATAAGCAACCTGATAAATTGCTAAATGAGTGCAAAAGCTCTTGTTTTGAGCACCAGCAAATCTTATCAATGCATAGGGAGGAAGCTATGAGGGAGTCATTTGTATGGGCAATGAAACATATCAAATGTATATACATTGCTCACTGAATTAGAATAAAGAAAGTTGAATTTGCCAAAAGACTGGAAGTTCTAACTTAATCAGAATGAATTAGAAAGAAACTTAATTGGAAAGAAAGTAAGCATCCAAAGCTTGCTTAACTCTATGTCTGGATGAATTTTATGCACAATGTTTTTGAGAGGGCTCTGTGAGATGAAAATGAAGCACGAATTTCTGATTAATCACATGAGTGTAAAGACAATATGTGATTGTCACTGTATCACTGTTTGTAGCAATATTTCTGGCATACTCTACAAAAGAGGCCCCCAACACGGACCGGTTCTGTGAAGAGAGGTTTTTCAGCAGATCAGAGGGTGCATGGTTTTGTGTGCTGCCTGCATCCCGCGGATGAGGCTTTGCGTGTTTGTGCGGACCGGTTGCTGGCATGCCGTGGCCCAGTGCTGGTCCCTGAACTGGGGGTTAGGGACCCCTGCTATACAAAACAAGAGTAAACAAGGTTTGCCAGCATTGTAAATTTGTATTGGTAATGAATTAAATATAAACTAGAAATGAATTCATTGAAATTAAATTCAGACACAATGTGGTGTCTTGCATGCTAGTTCAAGTCCCATTATTCCCAACCAACTTGCCTAATGCAAAAGATTGGGAAATATATCATCTAATCGCCCACCCCCCCAAGGACATGAACTTTACAATCTCTCTTCTGATTCACAGTCTTAGGCCTAAAATCAGGGATAAGAATGAAGATGATTTGCTATACTTCCAAGTTGGTTGAGGTTGGGGAAAACACTGACGGTAAAACAAATCCCTCCTATGCCAATATCTGCACAGTAGATGTCATTATCCCTTCTCTCTTTTATCACTGCATTTGTTCATGCTGCCTACAGAAGGCTCAGTCTGGAGCAGACCATTTTGAAAAACACTTTGTCTGAATCTAGTCTACATTTCCATTTTGTCACCTTGCTTTACTTGAGGCATTCCTCGCGTGGGTCAATTTAATGCAATTATTTTCTTTTTCTATCTTCTTGTTCTCAAGGTGACGGCTTCTCTCTTAGGCTCTCCTTCAAAGACCTGCTCTCTGCTGATCCTAACAGAAAATGAAAATGAGAAGCGAAAGTGGGTTGGAATTCTAGAGGGACTGCAATCTATTCTGCACAAAAATAAACTCAGAAATCAAGTTATACATATTCCACAGGAAGCCTATGACAGTACACTGCCTCTCATTAAAACCAGCCTAGCTGCTGCTATTATAGGTATGTTGGAATATAACAAGACACTTTGGATGTGTAACATTACATCTGTAATTGAGACTGATACATTGCCATCTTTAAATATATTATTTCTTATTTTTATCTCCTGACAGGAAAAATTAGTTGCATAAAATTGAGTGATTGACTTATAAAACGAATCGGAGTATGTTTAACACTGCTTGAAGCAGATGTCAGCAATGTTTAGATGTATTGACTCAGTTTTGGTCGAATTGCTTATTGTGTTAACATAAAATTGTTAAGTACATTAACAAATTTTATATTTCCTTTTCATTTGAAGTCATCATTTGTTTACCTGCCTATTACTTCCTTGCTTCTGTCTTATGGACAGTTGCCAACTGCAAGTATCAAATGGATTATATTAGCACCATATATTAGCACCATGTTAGAGTAATAAAAGAGCAGAATATTAACAACAGTTTGAAATGGTAAAGCATACTGCTACCCAACTATTTAAAAATATCTCACTTTCCTTAAATTTTCTGGAATAGAACTATTTTTCCTCATTTCGAGAGATGGGATGAGATTGATGGGATTAACCCAGTACTACATCTTGATTATGAAGATCATGAGAGCAACATTTACTGAAAAATCTTCCCCTTCATCTCTAACAAGTTAAGCTCCAAAATAGAAAAATCTTGGAGCATAGTCTCCTCCAGAGTTCTCTTTTAAATAATCTGAGGCCCATACCATATAGTTTGCATTGCTATACCTACTTTCCTATGAGCAAGCTTTACTAAATTCTGTGGACTTTTCATTTGGCTAGACATGGATTGAATTACATTATTATTGAGGTCTGATATTTGATACCACAAAACAGTATCCAATACAGTTCTTTTAGCATATGTTCCTTCTAGCATATTCAGTTTGTCAAATGGACGCTTTCTGTTAAAGAGTAGAAACCAGGGTTAGAATGAATATTTATATTAATAATTATTTTTCTTACCTTGTCACCATTAGATCGAGATAGAATAGCAATTGGTTCAGATGAAGGACTCTATGTCATAGAAGTCACCCGTGATGGTAAGTAAATTTTTGATTGCATTTAGCAGTTACACGCTGAGGGATGAGCTCTATCAGTTAATTCTTGATTATTTGCAGTATTCCCTTATGTAGAATTTGCTTCTCTGATAGAAGTTCAAAACTCAGAATATTGGCTTATTTAATGAACTGTTTAATGGTCATTTTTATGGGACATTTTGACTGGCACAGCTCTTACCTTTCACAAAAGGCAGTTGTTCATTTGACATCAAATACATATTCATAAAGGCTAATCTGGTTTTGTTCTCTCCTAATCCACAATTAATTGATAAGCTACTTTTGTACCTTGCTTGGAAAAAAAGAACCAGGTCACTAGGCTGCATCTCTGGGTGATTTGTCTTTTGACATAACAAAATTCATCACAGTAGTACCCTTTGGGATACTGTGGGAGTTTTAGGTAAGCTAGAATGAGTAGTTATTCAAATTTAGTCTTTTATCTTTATACATATAATCATACATTCTTTTCTTCCTCTCTTGACCCCCCCTCTATCCCATTCTACTTTTCATAAGCTCAGCTGCAGAAAAAAAACCCACACAATTTTAAAGCATGGCCACAAAGTGGCACCAGAACCGATGAATATAAAATAACTTTGCTGAGATAGTTTGGTGATACAAAAAGAATGAATGGGAATAGAATTGCAAACAATTGTATGAAGAGAAAGTGAATGGGATGAAGGAAAAGGAAAAACCAAAGAGGTTACAGTAAGAGGAAATGGATGAGATCCTCAAAAAAAGGTTACAAGTTTAAAAACCAGTAATGTACTGTTACGATAAAAGCAAGGATAGAAGCAACTTTAAGAAACTGAAAGAGGCAATATACATGGACGTACAATCCATACATGAACTTCAACTACTTTGCTGGCTGGGGAATTCTAGAACCTGAAGTCTGCATATTTTAAAGTTGCTGATTATACACACACACACACACACACACACACACACATATTGGCCACCCATCTTACCACAGATAATGTTGAGAAGCACTGGTTTGTTGTTAGAAAGATGTGGAGATATACAATAAATTATGTTTGTATAAAATATATGTATATATATTTCCTACTCATTTTCTTATTTCATGTCTTTACATATTTTGCTATTATTCCTCTTCTTTACTTGCATAATATTTAGCTTATCCCGAATGGGAATAGTTTGATGGTTATGTGTGTGTGTATATATATACAGTATGTTAGTTTTGGAAATGAAGTGGAAGAGGGTGAAGATAGACCAAAATTGAGATGATAAATAGCTTTTTTGCTCCAGAAATTAATTTAGCTATGTATTCTGTGAACATCAGAACTTTCTGACTGCTTTCCAAAAGCATGTGATTTTTGGCACTTTGGGCTAATCTGGTCTGAATTTGATTAGGAGTTCTGGGAGCAAAACCAACTCTGTTTATCTGGAAAGTAGGATAGTATGCACACTAACTAAAGCTAGAAAAGGAAAGCAAGGGAAGTATTCCCAAACTATAAAAACTCTCTCCATCAAGTTGAACTTGGCTCCTGATGACTATATGGATATGCTAATTGTTTTTTTCCCACTTGGCAACAGTAAAGAAATAGTTTGTTATTGCCCTTTTCAACTTCTGAAAACTAGCCTAAAGCCATGGGTTTCTGATGTGGTCTCCCATCCCTCGTTAGTTTTTTGTTTTTTGTTTTTTGCAATCTGGCAAACTAATTAATACAAAATCATCCAGAACAAAGTACATCTCCATTTCCTGTTATTCTGTCTGCTGGTCAAAACATGTTTGTCATGTCATGAAACCTATTTTATTAGCATTTGGGTACTTTCCTCTGTATTAAAGAAGGCAAGAAATAGAGAATTGAAAAAGAATTCATATATATTCGTGTTGTACAGCTCTAAATCCTCAATCCAGGCAGATTCACAGTAATATTAATTTGCAAGACAGTATGTGAAAGTAAATAGGAAATATCATTCATTTTTATTCTTTCTAATTCAAAAGAATGTTGGAAAAGAATTATGTCAATTGCTTCATTCTTAAGCCCCTTTTCTCCTTCCTGCTAGTCACATGAGTGGAGCTATTATTGAGGGGTTAGAAAAAATTCCAGTTGTGTTTTGCAGGCTTTCTCTATCTTGTTTGTATTTACATCACTTGCCTAATAGCAGATTTCTTCTTTGGCCTTCTGGGGCTATTCATTTAAAACAGTTTTCCTTGGATACTCTGGAGGTTTTTGTAATGCATGTCCAAGCACTACAGTACAGAAATCCTGCTACTGTGTCATCCAGTTTCATGTACTTCAGAAGCTAATACTGCAGAATAATTATGACGTTCAGAAAGAATTCAAATATTAGCAATAAGGTTTGCTACTCTGTAACTTGGATGCAGTATTTTTGGATAATTGAAATAATTCTAACCTTCAGCTAAATGTTTTGTTTTTATTTTTCGTTATCAAAAATTGATTTCTGATTTTCAGAGCAATATTTCTGTTCCTATGCTTGTATTTATTATGCTAAACATGGGAAAAAACTTCTATGATTTGTTAACTAATTTCTAAAGAAGGAGCTCTCTTGAGCTTACAGGCCAGAAGCAGATATGAGAATCTATTGTTCTTGAGACGTTTGGTCCATTGCGTTCTGCAAGTATGTGTGGTTTTCATATAGCCCAGTGGTTCTCAACCTGTGGGTCAGGACCCCATTTGGGGTCGAACGACCATTTCATGGGGGTCGCCAAACAACGCAGTCTGCCATTTTTTTCCCCTTTTTCTTAGCTGTGCTACTCCCTTTTATTCTATTGGCTTTTGAAAGCCAATAGAATAGACTCTCTTGAATAGAGTCTAATTCTATTGGCTTTTAAAAGCCAATAGGAATTGTCCAGGCTGTCTCTGCCCTGCTGAGCCCACCAAAAGTCCCATTCTGCAAACAATGCTGCACCAGTTGAGTAGTCCTCAACTTACGACCGGTTGAGTAGTCCTCGACTTATGACCGGTTGGGGGTCGCAGCATTAAAAAGGTTGAGAACCACTGATATAGCCAATCTTAACAATTATGTATGGTATAGGTTTCATATCAAGGCTATACCTAGGCACATTTTGCACAGTGCCAAAAGAAGTAATGTTGTAATCCTTTGAATCATAATTTCTAGAGAATTATTGATAGTTAAATATAAATTATATCATGTTTTCTCTGTACCAAAGAAAAGTAGATTATTCAAATAGGCATGCTTTACATTTTCCATGCTTTTCTATTGTAATATCTTTTTACAGAACTACTTTTGAAGACAGTTCAGAGGCTTTAGCTAATATAACTGCCAGACTTTTGACAGTATATTTTAAAAATACTTATCCTAAGGTACCTGCAGCAGAAGCCATTTGGTTTCTGAGCCTAATTCAAAAGGGTTTTGCTTGATTTTTTGGTGTTTAAATACCTGACTACCCATGCATAACGCCAGCTATTGGCACTCAGAATCTTCTGATTCTATAGGGAAATTAAGCTTTCTAATAAAGGGGGCCTTTTTAGTAGAATTATTCACATTCTGGAACCTTCTCCATAACAGAGAAGGAGCAAAAGACAGAAAAATGTGTTCAGGGCATATCTTAAGAGCTATCTTTTTCTGAACATTCACAATTACTCCTCATATTTTTGCTTGTCTATGTGCATTTTACTTTTGATTTTATTTGTACTGTTTTGAAATTCTGTATGAATAATAATTGTTATCTTTTCCTGGTATTTTTCCTGCCCTAGGCACTGTGAAGGTGTCTATTGATAAAATTATTGGGAAGTTAGAATTTGTGTCATGGATCTTTTTTTTCAGGAAATGATCCATAATTGCTTAGATTTTCATTTTCAGGATAAACTTGCAGCTCTACTACATGTGTTTAAAACAGTGTGCCTTTATTATTTATTTATTTCTGTTTTGATGCAAGTTTTAAAAATTCATAACGAGATTTGAGTTGGTAACACTATGTTTTTGGTACAGTGAAAGATTACATATATCTTAAACAATTACATTGTTAACATATATACTCTCTTAAGTGTATGTGTTATTTTCCATAGTGATTGTTCGAGCTGCTGATTGCAAGAAGGTCTACCAGATAGAGCTTGTTCCCAAAGAGAAAATAATTATTCTTATTTGTGGTCGGAATCGTCATGTTCACTTGTATCCTTGGTCTTCCCTGGATGGATCTGAAAGCAGCTTTGATGTCAAACTTCCTGAAACAAAAGGCTGCCAGTTCATTACAACTGGAATGATGAAGAAGAGCTCCTTACCGAGTTTATTTGTGGCAGTTAAGCGACAGATTCTCTGCTACGAGATTCACAGAACTAAACCTTTCCATAAAAAGTTCAGTGAAATCCAAGCTCCTGGCCATGTACAATGGATGGCTGTATTCAAAGACAGGCTTTGTGTTGGCTACCCATCCGGTTTCTCTCTGTTGAACATCCAAGGAGATGGACAGTCTATAAGCCTGATCAATTCCACTGATCCTTCACTTGCATTCCTCTCGCAACAGTCATTTGATACCCTTTGTGCTGTGGAGCTCAGCAATGAAGAATACCTACTTTGCTTCACCCTGTTGGGAGTATACGTTGATGCTCAAGGTCGAAGATCACGCATGCAGGAACTAATGTGGCCTGCGACTCCAGTTGCGTGTAGTATGTATATGTTTTTCTGTTTCTGTATCTTTGATTGCTTCACTTCAATTTGTGAACAGCTGATAGGCACAATAGCCAATTTGACTCAGCATTCTGCCTAATGTACATGCTCTGTAGACTTGCTTTCAGATTTTGCAAAAGAAACTATTTAACAACTATGGAACCATTTTTCTTGTTGCCTTCCACTAGTATAAGCCATGCTTTGCTCTATGGTATATGAATTGCTTAGTGTGGTATATGAGCCTAGTCTTAGTGTGAAGTCAGTCACTCCAGGTCCTAAGAAAAGGCAGGTTCCTCCTACAACTTTACTTTTAGTAATATAGACAGAAAGTTACCTTATTTTTATTACTCACTGTACTATATGAATTTGTGATCCTGGTGTGGTTGGTGCAAAGGAGTTCCCTCTTCCCTAACCCTCTTTTTTTGTGTGGTAGGGAAGGTGTTTTGCTGATCTTAAATGCTACTCTGTGGTTTGTCTGCTGATACTTGATGTCATCTCGGGTTGCTTTTAACTCTTTCTTGTATTTTGCTTGCCCTCCATCAAAATTGGAGATAATATTAATCATGCCTGCAAATACTTGAATGCTCGAATTAAAATGACTGCCTTTCATCTCGGCCAGAATATATGAATTCATTGCAAGAGATTTCCTTAAAGATATGTATGAAATCTATTGTTACAAAATAAGGGAAAGGTGATTTGATATGATGTTCAGAAGGAATTGCCATCCTTTTATTAAACTGAAAGGCTCTTGCTGGTAAACTGAAATCCAATCACTGAATGGGAAATGCTATCAGATAGAAGTGTGAGATAATTGTATGGTCAGGGGAGCTGCTTTTTTTTAATGAGCATAACTAGTTGCCCAGACCCGTTGAATATCAGGCAGAAGTTTATTATGTAAAACCTTTTGAAAACAAAGTAAGTAAACACCATTATTCATTAGACCTATTTATCCCCCCTGTTGTGTATTCAAAATGAATGTTTGAATGTGAATGTTTGAATATTTGATTAAACATGAAGGTAGGATATAAATTAAGTAATTATGTAAAGGTAATATTTCTTCTTTATAAAATGCTAGCTATTGGGATAGAATTTTGGCTTTATCTGTCTCTTTCAAAAGTGCCCACCTGCAGTCAAAAATGGAATAGTTCCAGCAAGGATTTTCCATGCTCATGAAAATTTTGCATAAGATGCCACTCTCCCAATATTAATCAGCTTGAGAAACAGCAAAGGTAAACACTGAATTGCTCAGTTTTATCTCAAATATATGGAGCCATAAGAGATTTTATTTTTTCTCTCCAGGTTGTAATCCATCCTATTTAACTGTGTACAGTGAATATGGGGTTGATGTTTTTGATGTTAACAATATGGAATGGGTTCAAACTATCGGTTTAAGAAAGGTTAGTATCTCGAGTTTAGACTAAAATATGCTTTATAATTTTCTGAAAACTTCATTGCATTGTACTGAAGGCCTGTTCTAAAAAGCTTTTCTCACTTTGCCTTGATAACAGATCCGACCTCTAAATGTTAATGGCACATTGAATCTCCTTAGTTGTGAACCTCCTCGGCTAATTTATTTCAAGAACAAGTTTTCAGGTTGGTAGAGGGGCAGAGAGGGGCATACGCCCAGTGAGTTTGGGGAGTCTCATTTTAATTTAGTATGTTGTATATTTATATTTTAGTTTTTATTGTGACTTGAACATCGCATGACAAGGAAAAGACTTAAAGTGGCTTTTATTTCAATAGGTGGTAGGATTTACTCATTTGTTTAGTGCTTCAATGAGGCATCAATTGAGATTTTGTAACGAACACTAATTTATTTTACTTGTATTTAATTGTACAATTTATTTTAATATATATTTGTGTTGACTTAATTAGCTAAAAGATGGTTGAATGGGGAGATCTTCCTCATGCATAACCAAATAAGGCTATGGGCCAATTAGACTAGTATTGTCATGATTGGTGGCATATGGTGGAGACACTTCCCAGCCCCACCTGAAGGTATCACAAACTGAGGAGTAGAAACTGCCATAAAGAAGAGGGAATTAAGCTATTTTCCAAAGCACCTGAAGGCAGGACAAGAAGCAACGGGTGGAAACTAATCAAGGAGAGAAGCAACCTAGAACTAAGGAGAAACTTCCTGACAGTGAGAACAATTAATCAGTGTAACAGCTTGCCTCCAGAAGCAGTAAATGCTCCAACACTGGAAGTTTTTAAGAAGAGACTGGACAGCCATTTGTCCGAAATGGTGTAGGGTTTCCTGCCCGAGCAGGGGGTTGGACTAGATGACCTCCAAGGTCCCTTCCAACTTTACTATTATTATTATTATTATTATTATTATTATTATTATTATTATTATTATTATTATAACTTTTCTGTTAAATAACTGAATTAAGTCCCTTATTCACACAGGCCTTTATATAAAACATTACTAAAACTGAAGTATGCACACTTTGCAGTCAAGTGATAGTTCTAGAAAGCAATCTGTGATTTATGTGTAAATGGGGCTTTGCAGACCTAGAGATGAAAATCGGGGGAGCCGCCTGTAGGAGATTGTATCTAGCTATGTAATTGCATTTTATATTTTACAGGAGGAGCTGCTCTTAGTGTGCCAGAAACATCTGACAACAGCAAAAAGCAAATGCTTCGTACTAGAAGCAAAAGACGATTCGTCTTTAAAGTTCCCGAGGAAGAAAGATTACAACAAAGACGGTAAGCCTTGGGTATTTTTCTCATAACCTGGGTGGAAAAGGAATCTTTCCCAGGCTGAAAAAAAATCACTATTTGATACCCTTTATTGATTCAGGGAGATGCTCCGAGACCCTGAGCTCAGATCCAGAATGATTTCAAACCCCACCAATTTCAACCATGTGGCTCATATGGGACCAGGAGATGGAATGCAAGTGCTCATGGATCTGCCATTGGTAAAGAAAACAAAACAAAACATGTTCCTAGGGAAAGCCTTCGCTCAGCTGATTTGCCAAAGGACAAGTTAATTGGCAGGAGTTTTTGGAGTCAAAACAGGGATACTGTTTGTTTTCTAAGGGGTGATTGAAATCATTAAGCAAGCCTAAGGTGGTTCCTATAAAGAATTTAGATGTTGGCTGTAATGCAATCTTTTATACTTGGTTGGGTTAGTGATTCGGGTTGTTTATCAGCTGCTTGTGTTTTAATTTTTTTAATCTTTGTTATTTTTAACTTAATGCTTTTAATTTATTTTAATAGTTTGCTACCCAGAGTCGCACATTGAAATGGGCAGCCTTATAGAAGTACAGCCATTTGTTTAGTGACCGCTCAAAGTTACTAAGACACTGGAAAAAGTGATTTATGGCCATTTTTCACATCACTATTGCTGTATCCCAATGGTCAAGTGAACAAATTTCAGGCACTCGGCAACTGGCATGTATTTATGAAGCTGCCTTGTCCTGGGATCATATGATCACCATTTGTAACCTTCCCAGTCATCTTCTGACAAGCAAATTCAGTGGGGGGACGCTGGATTTCATTAACAACTGCCTTGCTTAGCAATGGAAAGTTTGGGCTTAATTGTGGTCATAAGTGGAGGACTACCTGTGCATTGAACAAATAAATAAATACCCCTTTCACAATAATTGGTTAGCTATTTCAATCCAAAAATCTCTTCTGCTCTTGACATATTTTTCAACACTCCTACGATCACAGGCAAGACAATAATCAGAAAAATACAAAGGAATCCCATTAGTTAATAGGTCTGACTGAAGGAAGAGGAAAAGGGAAGGGAGAATGCAGACCCAACCCTTGGCCTTCATTCTGGGGTGGGTATATAGAAATGACGTCTTAATAGCCCCGTAACACTGTTTTGAGAGACTGTTTTGAGAGCCGTTACCAGGAACTCAGAAGGACATGAAAAATGAAGTAAATTGTCAGGCATATGATAGTGTTTCTGAATAACTCTTCTTTCCTCCTTCCTTTTCTTGTTTCTTTTGTCTAAAATAACAGAATGAATTTCCTTCCCCTTCATCTTCCCGACATTCTGCTCTGATATCATCTCCAACAGGCTTTGAGCACGTCTATCACATGAGCCCTATCTCTGCTGATCTCTTTCTCCAGAGTGACCATTCCTCCTCAATGCTTTCCTCCTCTTCCTGCCCCTCCTCTGCTTCTGTAGTAAGGGTAGGAGCAGCTCTTTAGGAACTGAAGTGGATGAGAGTGTGCTTTAGACCTCTCAGCTGGCTAACCTCTGTGTGAATAAGCTTGTGCTTTCCTGCTAAAACAGCAGGTTGTCACTGCAAAATCTAAATCCCATCTTCTCTAATAGGCTAATCATCTAGGATAAGAGAGTAACCATCCTTCCAGTAGCAGGAGGCAAGGAGAAAGCTTATTGGATAATACTCGATATTTGTCTCATTGCAACCAAACTGCCAGCATTTACTATCGTAGCTGCCAAATGCAACAAAAGTAAAAGGCAAATCATGTTCCCATTTTATAATTTGGAAAGCCTAGAGGCATAATTTGCAATCAAATTCTGTTCCTTATGCTGTATAATATCAGAGTGTAATAGTACACTGGCAAAATCAATAAGACCCCTTAATTAATAGAATATTACCAAATCCAAAATAAGGCAATAAGTTATATCTTTGGCTAAGCATTAGCCTTTAAGGGGGAAATAAAGCTATAAAGCAAAAGATAATTTGATGTGGTTCATTCAGATAGACTTATTTTTCTAATATCTTTTATAAAATGTCTCCAGCTACCGGAAAGAACTGAGACTTAAATACTGACCATTTTACTTGCTTTTTGGGGTGGAATGGCTATATTTATCCCCTCACTGATTCTTTGAGCAACATGCTTTGCTTTGTATGATTCTCAATAGTCAAGATGAAACAGATTTATAAAAAAAAAGAAAAGAGCTTTTTATACTGATTTCAGGTTTTAAATATTTTAAAAGGCTCCGTATTTAAAAAAGAAACTTAAGTTGAAAATATCTCGTCTAATTGAGCTTGGTTACCTTTCTGCTACAGACTGGTTTACCTTCTTCGCAAGATGAAAAGGTTTGCCCTCCGACAAGCAACATTTCACGCCAAGCACCTCACAGAAATAAAAGCTACATTTCATGGCCATCTTCAAGTAAGAGTTGAAGTAGATCTCTTTAAAAGCTATAAGCTTCATAAGCTTCTCCTAGAGGAGATTCTCAAATACTTTTGCTTTGCAGGTGGCAGTGACCAGGGAGCAACCGTGCCCTTGCGAAGTATGTCTGATCCAGATCAGGAGTTTGACAAAGAGGTGAGATCAATTTCTATATCCTCACAGGTTTTCAAATGGTGAGGTGAATTTAGAAAAATCATTGGTACACTAAAGGGTACTGACTTCTAATATTTTTACAAATTACATTTTTATATCTGAATGTATGTGTATATAATCTAAACCTGTGATATTATATAAAAACATGCAGCAGTGAATGAAGGCAAATATACATGTCCTAGGCTAATGTTGCAGGATCCAATCTGGGTCGGTCACCGGGACTCACAGGTTTTGTCTTCTGAGCTTTTGAACTCGTGCTTGGATTCCATCCTCAGGGAGCTTCTCTCTAGCAGAGTGTGTGTCCCGGTCACCAACCCAGATTGGATCCATGCAGCAGTATCTATCTGAAGAGTTTGAAAATCCAATAATGGCATATTTCAATCAATCAGAATAGAGCTGGAAGGGACCTTGGAGGTCTCCTAGTCCAGCTCCCTCAAGCAGGAGATCTTATACCATCTCAGACAAATGGCTGTCCAGTCTCTTCTTAAAAACCTACAGTGATGAAGCACCCACAACATCTGAAGGCAACCAGTTCCCCTGGTTAATTGTCCTTACTATTAGGAAGTTTCTCCTTAGTTCCAGGTTGCTTCTCTCCTTGATTAGTTTCCATCCATTGTTTCTTGTCTTGCCTTCCGGCACTTTGGAAAATAAATTGACCCCCTCCTCCTTCTGGCAGCTTCTCAAATACTAGAATACTGCTATCATGTCCCCCCTAGTACTTCTTTTCTCCAGACTGGCCATTCCCAAATCCTCCAACTGTTCTTCATATGTTTTAGTCTCCAGGCCTTTAATCGTCTTGGTTGTGCTTCTTTGCACTTTTTTTTGGCACTTTTTGTTTTTTGCATTTTTCAGTAGTGGAGCCCAGATCTTAATGACTTCATGGACACATTTATGTTCTTTTCTTGTCATCAGTATAAGTGGCTTCCATTGCCTTTGAGGAGAACTCCCCCTTTTTGGGGGGGATACTTCCCAGTCTAGCCTACAACTTTAGAATTCCTTGGAAGAGTCCCATTAAGTACTAATCCAGTCAATCTTGCTTAGCTTCCAAATTCAGTCAAGAGCTACCAGGTGCTGTCAGCTCCTGGGTATATACCAAACATTTTATTGTTCAAGCTGGTGTCTACATAACCAACATGCCAAATTGCAGAATGTAGTGCTGTCCAGAAATCCAATCGAAAGCCTAAATTCTCTGCAAATATGTGCTTGGAACACTTCTCAAAATTAACATTTTTCCTTGGGGAGAATAACAAATGATTCATAAGTTTTTAAAGGACAAAGATGGCTTTGTTGTTTTTTTTTATCTTAGACCCATCCTAATTAATGGTTTACTGTTGCATTATCATTAATAACTTCGCTGGATGTTGGAGAAATTTTCAATTGCAACCAGCTGTAGTTTTTAGTTTTAATAAATTTAATCGTTAGAAAACTATTATTAGGGGGGGGCAAACACAGAGTTATCAGTGCATGTAACATACGTGTGTGCAGGTAAGAATATCAACCTTGTTGTCATGCAAAATCAAGCTTTTAATAGCGAGTGTCACACCAAATGCACTAACCAAACAGGTGGTAAGGAAATAGGGGAACTCAGGCACTGCGCAGGTTATGTAGAAATTAAACAGAGGGTCATCCATAAAGGACTCAAATGTCTATACATCAACACACAGAGTATGAGCAATAAACAGGGTAAATTAGAGATTCAGGTAAATGAGGGCAGATTTAATATTGTTGCTATTACAGAAACTTGAATGAAACCCACAAATGGAACACACAGCTAGAGGGATTTAAATTATTTAAAAGAAACAGATCAAATAAAAGAGGAGGTGGAGTTGCTCTCTCTATAAGAAATAACTACATCTCTACAGATATAGAGCAATAACAATGATGAAAACTATCTTGAATGCATTTGAGTCACTATAAAATGGGGGAAATGGCATTGCCATAGGTGTATATTATAGGCCACCCAATATTTTGCTAGCAGTTAATTAAGGTATGTAGGAAACACATCACCATAGTAATAGGGGACTTTAATTACCCTGACATCAATTGGGAGACAAACTCTGCACCAAGTGGAAGATCAAACAGATTCCTGACAAACCTAGCAGACAACCTTGTTTCCCAAAAGATAGAGAAAGGAACTAGGGGTATCAGCCATATTGGACTTAATTTTCACTAACAGAGATGAAATGATAGAAGGTGTTGAAGCCACAGGAACCTTGGGGGGGGGAGTAATCATGCAATATTGGAATTCAACATTATGCAAGCACAAGCAATAGAACATAGTCAAACTAGAATTTTGGACTTTAAGAGAGCTAATTTCAATAATCTTAGAGCTTGGGAAAGATTCCATGGATGAGAATCCTCAGGGAAAACAACTCAAGAAATTGGGAAATTTTGAAAAGTGAGATTATAAAAGCCCAGTCTAGCACAATACCAGCAAAGAAGAAAAATAACAGCTCTCAAAAGAAACAAGCATGGCTGCATAAAAAACTCTCTGAAAAATTGAAAGATAAAAAGGACAAGTATAAAAAATGGAAAGAGGGGCACATAACTAAGGCAGAATATCAGCAAATAGCTCAAGCCTGCAAAGATGAAGTGAGGAAAGCTAAGGTTCAAAATGAACTAAGGCTTGCGACCAAAATCAAAAATAACAACAAAAAAAAGCTTCTTTCAACATGTAAAAAACAAGAAAAAAGTTAAGGAAATGATTGGTCCATTAGTGGGAGAAAGTGGTAAGAAGGTGACAAGCAACAGGGAGAAAGCAGAACTACTTGTTTTTTGCATCCATCTTTACACAAAAGGAAAAAACAGTCTAACCTATCAAAAACAATACTATAAAAACAGATTAGAAACACAAGTTAAGATAGGCAAGAAAATGGTAAGTGAGCACCTGTCCACCCTAGATGAGTTCAAATCACCAGGACCAGATGGATTACACCCCAAGGTTCTGAAGGAACTGGCAGATATGATCTCAAAACCACTGAACTCTATCTTTCAAAGATCCTGGAGCACAGGGGTACTACCAGAGACTGGAAAAGAGCTGATGTAGTTCCCATCTTCAAAAAAGGGAAAAAAATGGATTCAGGAAACTACAAACCTATCAGCCTGACCTCAATACCTGGGAAGATTCTGGAAAAGATAAGCAATGAATCAGCAAACACCTAGAGGCAAACAAGTCAACATGGGTTTATCAAAAACAGATCACACCAGACAAATCTTAATGTATTCTTTGACCAAGTGACAAAATTAGTGGACCAGAGGAATGCTGTGGATATAATTTACTTGGACTTCAGTAAGACATTTGATAAAGTAGACTACAACCCACTACTTGATAAGATAGAAAAATGTGGGTTAGGGAGCATTGCCATCAGATGGATTCATAGCTGGCTGGCCGGCTGTACTCAGCGTGTGATTCTCAATGGAACTGCATCTACATGGAGGAAAGTATGTAGTGGGGTGCCCCAGGGCTCTGTTCTGGGCCCAGTGCTCTTCAACATCTTCATCAATGATTTGGATGAGGGGATAGATGGGGAACTCATCAAATTTGCAGATGACACCAAGCTGGCAGGAATAGCCAACACTCCAGAAAATAGGCTTAAGATACAGGAGGATCTGGACAGTCTTGAACATTGGGCACTTTCTAACAAAATGAAATTCAGTGGTTGAAAAAAGTAAGGTTCTACATTTAGGCAAGAAAAACCAAATTCACAGGTACAGCATAGGTGGTACCTTGCTCAATAGTAGTAACTTAGAGAGATCTCAGAGTCCTAGTGGACAGTCACCTAAATATGAGCCAGCAGTGTGCTGCAGCTGCCAAAAAGGCCAACACAGTGCTAGGCTGCATTAACAGAGGGATAGAATCAAGATCACGTGAAGTATTAATACCACTCTACAATGCATTGGTAAGGCCACACTTGTAATATTGCATCCAGTTTTGGTCACTACGATGTAAAAAAGATGTTGAGACTAGAAAGATTACAAAGAGCAACAAAGATGATTAGGGGACTGGAGGCTAAAACATATAAGGAATGGTTGCTGGAATTGTAGTTTAATGAAGAGAAGGACAAGGGTGACATGATAGCAGTGTTCCAATATCTCAGGGGTTGCCACAATGAAGAAGGAGTCAATCTATTCTTCAAAGAAGGCAGGACAAGAAGCAACCATTGGAAACTGACCAAAGAGAGAAGCAACCTAGAACTAAGGAGAAAATTCCTGACAGTTAGAACAATTAATCAGTGGAACAACCTGCCTCCAGAAGCTGTGAATGCTCCAGCACTGGAAGCTTTTAAGAAGAGACTAGACAGCCATTTGCCTGAAAAGTGTAGGATTTCCTGCCTGAGCAGGGGGTTGCACTAGAAGACCTCAAACTTCCTTTCCAACTCTATTATTGTTGTTGTTGTTGTTGTTGTTGTTGTTTTTGTTGTTAAAAAACACATGCTGCAGAAGAACCACTGCAGTCTTTCCACTTGTTAGAAGCATAAACTCTGCATTTTTAGCCTATTGACTACTAGAGACATTAGGAGAACAGATAGAAATGAAAGGGGATTTTTCTTTTTACCTCTTTTTTTTTCTCTGCTCTCTCCTCATTGGAACCTGAATCAGCTTTTCTGTTCATCCTGCTTTTTATAATAGAGAACAGTTGTTCTTTCCCTACCAAACAATGTTCAGAGATACACTTTTTCCTTAGCATATATAAATCTAGCTGTCCTTTTGGATGCTGCACATCTTGTCTCTAAAAAGTCTTAATGGGCTTGGTTTTACTTGTTCATGTATTTTGCTACATATAGATTCAAGTGAATGAATTGAAGGATTCCAATCTGGTTTTCTCAGTTTATTCCCTACACTGTTAGACAGTATTTTTTTTTTTTAAAAAAATGTAGCTATCTGCTGCTTCAGTTAAAAAGGCATCTCTAGATGACTTACACATTAGGATTAACAAGAACAAATAATACCCAGTGATACATTGGGGAAAAAATAAAGTGAGTTCATATGAAATTTTGTATTTGGATCAATGTGGGGGCTTATATGTATGCTTACATAGAAAAAGCAGTATAAAACTTTGGATTGTACTCTATGGATTGTTGCTTTATCACAGCTTTTGTCTGAACAACTACATTAGTTACAGTGTTTACAACCACAGTACAATCTAGACAAGTATATCTTCAAGCGATATAGCCATTTAATCTGTTGTCTAAATAAATTCCTCTTTTCCCAATTAAACTGACTGCCATTTTAACACATCTGCTACGAAGCTAAACATTATGAATAATTAACTGCATTCCAAAATACCAGAAAATTGTCCAAGGAAGGACATTGCTTTGAATGCCTGCTATCAGCAGGATATCTCACAAAAGAGCTATGCATGCAAAGGCAGAGCTGTCATCTTGGATGCATATATTTAACTGCTTCATAAATCTCTAATTCTTTTTTTGTACCACTTAATAATAAAAAAGATCACCTGTCATTTTACCTTTATAATCTGTTCTAAAACTAAGCATGGTGGAATTCTGCCCTGAGGAAATTATACAATTACACATTTTGCATAATTTGGCCATACATTTCTTTGTTCAGCTCTAGGTCAAACCAAATTCAGGATATAATTCCAACAGAATCTTTCTTTGCCTATTGCAAAAGAACATTTGAAAAGGAATGCATGGAAGGGAAATGAAGACAAAAAAATTGGCTCCATCATTTTGTGTTGATGCAAAAACTGCATCTTCCTAAGCAAAATTAAACTCTATGTGATTGGGAAACTGATCCCAAAGGACATAAGTTTGTGGTTTGTTATCCCATGAAAGATTGTATGTGCAATAAACAATATTTTGTGTATTATAGATGTTACTTATCAGTATGAGGAATTTGTAAATGGAATGCCTGTCCACAGTTTCTTTTAATATTTTAGAAGGCTGTATTTATGTTTACACATCTATTGCCCTGGAAATGCCCACTGTATAATGACATAACATTCCAGATAACTTATTACTTTCTGTCATTGAAAGGATGTTAGCAAGGAAGGATGGACATCTACTCATGATGTTAATATATTGAGGGTTTTGAGGTTCAGTAGTTTAGTAGTTTTAATAAAACTACTGCTAAAATATATTACCTAATTTGGTAAATGCAAAAAAAAACAAAAAACCACCAAGCTCAAAAAAGCAGCAAGGATCCCACAGTTCAACCTTGAGCTAAAATATTATCTTTTATCGGTACTAAAATATCTTAAGTTACCTGATGAGACTATGTGAGGATCTTAAGAATTTTGTATTTCTGAAGGCCAAAATCTATAACGTAAATTATTGGGGAATATTCTGTTATAGAGAAGGCTGTTCATAAAACAGATCTGAAAACAATTTCATAGATACCTATAAATGTACAGATACAGTCTCCTCTCAAATTTAATTTCTTTGATTTTGATAGCTGCAAGTTTTTTTTTAGAACATTTGATTGCTATTAGCTATTGGCTTCTAGGCCTTCTGGACTCCGTACTTCTGATTAATAGTGATTTACATAGAGATGTTAATCAGTGCAATCAATGACAGAATAACATTTATTTAAACAAAAAAAGCAAAAAGAAACATGAGAAGAAAGAGACAGAGAAATTTTGTAAGAACATAGGAATATAGATGAAGGCTTAAGACTTGGGAGAAAATATGATTTTTGAAGAGGAAATTGGGAGGAAGAATAAATCCACACTATTTTCACATTTCTAAGGGTGCATAATAGGGTGGGAGATATTAGATGAGGAGGAAGAGGGGTCCTCTCAGGGGCAATTGGAATTGTTGCGCTGGCCAGGCCCCTTCTTTTGTTAAATGCATCTTTGCAGTTCTTGGTCTAGAATTAGAATGTGACTGGAAGACATTGTTTTTCTGTTTCTTTTTAACAGCCTGATTCGGATTCTACCAAACACTCAACTCCTTCCAACAGCTCTAACCCAAGCAGCCCCCCAAGTCCCAACTCTCCCCACAGGAATCAGCTGACACTAGATGGATTAGACCAATCAACCTGTGATGCATAACACTGCAGCTCTCTCCACTGTTTCTCCCATTTGGGATTGTCTGCTGTGTCGTGGAGCATCAAAAGCAGGACATCTGTCTCCAACAACAGTGCCAAGACTGATGCTTAATCTTTAGCATTGCACAGAAGTAAATTCCTGTATCTAGATTGTAGATTTGAGGGCATAAAAAGGAGGCAAGAGATCTTTATTGCTATAGTAACAAAATTGTTTTTTTTTAATGTAAACTGTTCACTCTTACACTCAAGGTGCATCCATTTCTGCACAGCTGTGATACTCTCATGACATACAGTAAAGGCTACTGATAAAATCTTAATACTTAAACTGAAAAAAGAGAGATGCTGATAGTTTTTATTACTATACAGTACCAGGAATATTATTTTTCTATAGGGTAATGTAATGTCTCATTATCAGCAAATTCTTTTTTAAAAAAAATCCAGATCTTTGAGTATGAAGTAAAAGCAGTCTAGTTACATCCTTGGCTAAATATATTCTAAATATATTGTTTTTCTTTTTTCAAAGTTTAGAGGGATGATAGGAAGTTGTAGGGCCATTTCCAGCTTCAGTAGAATAAAACAGGAAAGTGAAAACAGAACTTCTAGATTGTGGCCTTTTAACTTACTTAGCCATTACATATGTTCTCCGCTGTATAAATGTCTTTCTACTGAAATTTTAGTCATGTACATAAAGGACCAGAAATGTTTTATCCTTACCCTACTTTTTTAGATCTGATTAGCTAGGACAAGGCTTTTTAAAAAAACAATAACATACTGTTGGAAAACAGATTTTACTGTTTTTCTTGCAGTCCATCTTCTCAAACATTTTTGTAATTTCTCTTGGATTTTTTTTTCAGAGTAAAAGATAACACTACGTTTTAAAAAGTTTTACTAGGCCAGCATTCTCTTGAGATTGCTCCCCGATGGCTGCTTGTATGAAGGGATTGTGTAGTAATAAATTGCTTCTGATTTTTCTTGGTAACCAAAGTGGAAGCATAGAGGGGTGTGTATATGAGGGTACCTCGTCTTTTTTCCCCACTTTTCTTAATTCATTATATCTTCACCTGCATGATGATCCAAACCCCATGATTGCTCATTAAAAGTACTGAATGTGTAGGGGAGGAAATGCACAGCACATTCCTGTATATTTTGCAGCAGTGACATATTACATGTATATTTAATCTCATGCTTCCATGTATTATACATTTAGTAACACTATCTACCCACCCATCCTAGTGATCATGTTTCATTTAAAAGCGTGTAATTAATTCTATGGCTGGCATATTCAGTTTGTCATTGTCACACTAGTGTGCCTTCTGTGCCAATTTGATGACAGTTGGATGTCAGTTGTTTTAAAATCTGGTTTCTATGGGCTAATGCTATACCAATGGCTAACACTCTTCCCTGAGACACTGTATAGGACATGCACTTATCCCTAGTTTAAACCAAGTGGTTCTAGTCAACATTTAATTCTGTTTCATTAAGTGTTTGACAATATTTGCTCTTTCTCAGATTCTTGATTAATAAAGCTCAGTTTGAGCTGGACACTACTGCTTTGGGGTTTTTCTGGTTTTTACTCTTTTTTTAAATGTATGTCTCAAGTCTTTGTAATTATTGAATTGTGAGAACATTTTTGAACAATCTACTTGTCAATAAAGCGGAAGAGGGATGTTTTAAAAAGTTCCTGGTTGTCCTGTCATTAATTAGATACGTGCACGTAGTTCTTTGGAAAGTACCGTCGCATGATTCTAATCTCTACAGAAAAGGGAAAAGAAATATCCTGCTGCATTCTTAGCTGGGGAGGAGGAAAAAAACCCTACATAATCAGGTTTGTTGGTGCAAAAGCTTTTACCAACTTTTCCTCTTTAATGAGAAAAAAGCAGCTACAGCAGCAGCTGAAATGGGAAGAATGCTATGTTACCTTTACAGTTTGTCACAAAGGCAAATTTTGTTAATCTTTTTTTCTTTTTTCTTCTGGTATCTGTTCTAGTCTATACTGAATTAATAACTTAATATATATGAATTTATTAGAAATAATAAATAGATGTTGGAGGGATTAATGTAACCGGCCAGCTTAGAGATTGTCTGCTTTGACAACCTTTTGCTTTATTTTTCTCAGGGCAGATGGAAACTGTTTACTAATTTGAGAAAATTACAAGTCATTATAATATTGGCACAAGTTCTTTGTGTTACAAAAAATATATTTGTGAAGTACTGAATTTGTTACCTATTTTAAGGGACTGCTTATTGTTTTTCCTCTGATTTAATAGACTATATTTTAACTTTATATTTTAAAAATGTACTAGGGGTAGAAGAAGAATTACTAGAATTAGTAACAGAATTAAATGTAGATGTTAATTATTTTGCATCTTGTGAAGAGGATTTCAATCTAGCCAAGCTTATTTTAATGATAACCATTTGTTTCACCACTGGCTTAAAAACTGGTGTTGTCAACAGAACCTCGGCTTCCTAGACCATGGTCTGCATTACCTAGATGAAGGGCTACTGGCAAGGGATGGACTGCACTTCACAAGAACTGGAAAAAAATATTTGGAATAAGACTGGCTCATCTTATCAAAAGGGCTTTAAACTAAAAATGAGGGGGGGGGAGGGCCAAACTTCCCAACCTATAGCAAAACCACTAGATAACTGATCACATAAGGAGGAATGGAGTAAAGAGAAAATTTTTTAAAAAATGAAATAGAGAGTGATGGGAAAGAGAGGAATCCCAGTTTCAAAGTAAGAGATACAACAAATATACCAAAGACTAATAAAGGACTCAAATGCCTATATAGTAACGCTCAAAGTTTAGGGAACAAACAGTGAACTTGAAGTATTAGTGTGTGAAGGCAGATATGATATAGTTGCCATTACTGAAACTTGGTGGGATGAAACTCATGACTGTAATGTACTGATGGACAAACTATTCAAAAGAAACAGACCCAACAAAAGAGAAGGTGGAGTTGCATTATGGATAAACGATCACTACATCTCTATAGAAATATACAAAACCAAGAATGAAAACCTCCTAGAAACCATATGAGTCAATATAAAAAGAAAAAAGAATGACATTGCTATAGGCTTAGAGTACAGATCACCCAACCAAGCAGAAGAAATAGATGAACTCTTTGCTAATCAATTAACAAATGTATGTAGGAAACATATCACAGTAGTAATGGGAGACTTTAACTACCCTGATATCAACTGGGAGACAAATTCTGCAGCAAATGGGAGATTCCTAGCCAACTTAGCTGACAACTTTGTCATCCAAAAGATAGAGGAAGGAACTAGAGGAAAAGCTATATTGGACTTAATTTTTACTAATAGAGAAAAAGTGATAGAGGGAGTTGAAATTGCAGGAACTTTTGGCAAGAGTGACCATGTCATACTGGAATTCAATATAATGCAAACACAAGCAATAGAATATAATCCAATCAGTGTCTTAAACTAAAAGAGCTGATTTTAACAAACTCAGAGCCTAAGCAAAATTTTATGGATAAAAATCCTAAAGGAGAAAACAACTCAAGCATAGGAAATACTGAAAAATATAATCATAAAAGCCCATCCCAACACAATGCCACTAAAAAAGAAAAATAAGAAATCCAAGAATAAATAAGCATGGTTGCACAAAGCTCTCTCTGACAAACTGAAAGACAAAAAGGATAAGTACAAAAAATGGAAAGAGGGACACATAACTAAGACAGAATATCAGCAGATAACCGAATCTGCAATGATGAAGTCAGGAAAGCAAAGGATCAAAATTAACAAAGACTTGCAACAAAAGTCAAAGATAATAAAAAAAAGTTTCTTTGAACATATAAATAACAAAAAAAAGTCAAGAAAACAGTCCATCCACTAAAGAGAGAAGATGGCAAAGAAGGAACAGGCAGTAGAGAGAAAGCTTAAGTCATTCTTTGCAGCAGTCTTCACACAAAAAAGAAACTATAGCCGAACCTACCAAAAACATAACTTAAAAAACAGACTAGAAATTAACATTAAAATAAGCAAGAAAATGGTAAGAGAATACCTGTCTGACCTTGATGAATATAAATCATTGGGACCTGATGGATTACATCCCAGAGTTCTGAAGGAGCTGGCAGATGTTAACTCAGAACCATTATATCATATCTTTTAAAAGTCTTGGAGCACTGGGGAACTACCAGAGGACTGGGAAAGAGCTGATGTGGTTCCCATCTTAAAAAAAAGAAAAAAAAAAACACCCAGGAAACTACAGTCCAATCAGTCTAACATCAATACCTGGGAAGATACTGGAAAAAATAATCCAAAAACAGATCTGTGAACATCTAGAATAAAGTTATAACTAGTAGCCAGCACAGGTTTGTTAAAAACGCCAAACCAATCTTATTTCATTCTTTGACAAAGTGACTAAATTAGTAGACTAGCAAAATGCTGTGGACATAGTATATTTAAACTTCAGCAAGGGATATGAAAAAGTAGACCACAACCTACTTCTTGGTAAGCTAGAAAAATGTAGGATAGACATCATCATCAGATGGATTTGTAACTGGCTGACAAACTGTACTCAATTAATAGTCCTTAATGGTACTACATCTACATAGAGGGAGGTAAGCAGTGGGGTACTACAAGGTTCTGTCTTAGGCCCGGTACTCTTCAATATCTTCATAAATGACTGAGATGGGGGAATAGAAGGGGAACTTATCAAATCTGCAGATGACACTAAGCTGGCAGGAATAGCCAACACCCCAGAAGACAATCTCAGAATCAAAAAAAATCATGACAGACTTGAACAATAGGCCCTGTCCAACAAAATTATATTTAATGTGGAGAAAAGGAAGGTTTTTCACCTGGACAAGTACAAATTAGGCGAAACCAAGTTCAAAAACAACTGTGAGGGGGAACTTGGAGTCCTAGTGGACGATCAGTTAAACATGAGCCAGCAATGTGTGGCAGCAGCCAAAAAAGCTAATACAATCCTTCGTTATATAAACAGAGGCATAGAATCAAAATAATGTGAAGTATTAGTACCACTTTATAAAGCCTTAGTAAGGCTACACCTGGAATACTCATCCAATTTTGGTCACCACATTACAAAAAAAATGTTGAGACTTGGGAAAAAGTGCAAAGAAAAGCAACTAAAATGATCAAAGGCCTGGAGACTAAAACATATGAAGAACAGCTGCAATATTTGGGTATGGCCAGTCTAGAGAAAAGAAGGACTGGGGAGACATGATAGCAGTATTCCAGTATTTGAGAGGCTGCCATAATGAGGAGGTGGTCAATTTATTTTCCAAAGCACCAGAAGGCAAGACAAGAAACAATGGATGGAAACTAATCTAGGAGAGAAGCAACCTGGAATTAAGGAGAAACTTCCTATGCCAGTGGAACAGCTTGCCTTCAGAAGCTGTAGGTGCTTCATCATTGGGGGGTTTTAAAAAAAGACTTGGCAGCCACTTGTCTGAAATGGTATAGAGTCTCCTGCTTGAGCAGGGGTCTGGACTAGAAGACCGTCAAGATGATGATGATGATGATGATGATGATGATGATTTTAGAGTGTTACAAGGTAGTTTTTTAAATGTGTTGTAAGCATTCTAATAGCTCTTCTGGATTTTTGACAGTATGAACCACAGTATTTAATTACACACAACTTGTTTCAGGTAAAACTCAAGTCATAGAAGATTCCGCATAATTGAATACATAGAATGAAATTGGGATGGAAGTGAAAATATGTGAGATGGCAGAGCACTTGAATTAGCCAGTCTTGTTTTATCTGAGGACACTACTTAGCTGAGAACTGCCAATTTCCTATACCATTTGGGAACACAGAGTAGCTGGAGAATGGATTGGAGCCAATTGTTGGTAATGTTATCTCTTAAAAGCAATTATCACTGAAATGGGATATTCTAGAAAACTGATAGTAAACTTTCACTCAAAAAGAACCAAGTCAAGACATTTAAAAAAAACAAAGTCATTATTTTTAACTCTAATGCAGAAATTCAACTCAAATGTGCTCCTACTACTTTACCACTTTATTACTATTTTAAAAAAAATCCCAAGTAGCAATGAGAATTAATAATAATAAATTCAGATTTTTTTAAATTTTCAACATAAAGTTTTTAACTCTTATAAACTACAACATTGTGCATATTTTCTTGCTCACATTGGAAATGTCTTTTACATAAGCAATGCATTAATGAATGGGATGTTCATCAACCTCTAGTCATATGGCACTAGACCATTTCCTAGTGAATAGCTAAAGAGGACTTAAAAGAATGTCTTTTAAGAATTAGCTTTACATTTATAAGGACATGAGTGGCATGGTGGCCTAGAGGTGAAAATGCTTGTCTACCATTCGGAAAGTTGAGAGTTCAATTCTAGGCAGGGACAGATGTTTCTGTATCAGGGCACACACAAAAAATATTTGCTACCAACTCCGCATAGGCATCAGGTAGGGCATCCAGCCAATAAACGCTCAGCTCCATTCAGTTGCCCTGACACCACCCTGAAGCAAGGGATTGTAGGGACATAAAAAGAAAAAAAAAGTTATATGTAGGGACATGTGAATCCTGTTTGGGGAAAAGTCTCAAGTGATAAGCCTTCAACTGTAACCCTGAGCTGCACCCTGAGCTGAATCTACTAATTCTCTTCTATTAACATTTTCGTTTGGAACAGAAACTCCAGTAAAACGAGAGCACATTAAAAAA